CTAGGATGACTGTATGATGGCAAAAGCTCCCATAGTGATGAGTTCATGTCGGGCCCCATTGAGGCCGAGATTTTAGCGGTGCACGTGACTGTCAAACTCCGTCCGCAGCCATCCAGCAAAACCCCCGGGCCCACCGCTGCCGCCTCCAGCGCCCCCCGTTCTCGGCTAAGAAGGACCTTTCCGCCCGCAAACTCCGATAATAATGAATGACACCTTGAATTCCATTTATACCACGCGTCGGTGGACAGGGTCTAGAGTGGTCCCGCCCGCTCGATTCTCAGGCCACCGTCTACTTACGTACATCATCAGTAATGTCTACGCAGTATGGAGTACAACCTGGTGCTTTGCTACCGTACCGTTGTTGGCCAAGAGCAAGTACTGCTTTCATTCAAATGTGCACGTTATACGGATATCACATGGCATCTTTCAAAAAAGGGAACAATTCTAGAGCATCGCCTTGGTAGTTTTGAATATGTCATTTCCGCCACTCTTTGGCAGGGTACAGCCTAATTAGCTAGATTCTCCCTACAAGTCTCCCAGCCATAGCTCCGTTCAGCAGGCCAATTACTCGTACATGCGTTAAATGGTTCGTGATGTCGTCTCTTATATGCACATTATGCAACCTAAAAATGTTCTGTCCAGTGACCACTTGTTGACGCGGTTGTCCGTCGAATCAAATACTCTAGCGCTTCGGATTTGCTCTGAGGGTTCCGAGATCAACTAACCCACATTGCCGTTTTCCACAGTCGGGTACGCACCGCCGCTCATCTCTGCCCAGTCCCAATCTAGAGTCATGGGGAGAGCGAACAGATCTTGCGGCAGGAGAGGTTGCTGGAACGGCCCGCCCATGTTTACTGGCGGCGATCGAGCGCTGTTTGGCCCTGCGAATCCTGTCATCTCGCCAAAGTTGTTGAAGTTTGGTTGTTCTGGTATACTGAATTCCTGCGGCCATCCGGCAGACGGGAGTGCCGGCGATGGTTCTCGCATCGATGTTGTCGTCATGGGGCTGAAGCCGTGCCTCCTCCGATTCGCTTCTCCATCAAAGTCTGGTGATAATTGGCCGTTTGTCGTCGATGATGTAGCTGCACCGTTCACGGTTTGGGGAGTTGGAGTGGTGACTGAGACAGGCCTGGGTGTGTGTGTTGATGCGGCGGGACTTGACGACGTCTTGACAGCGGCGTCGCTCTTTCGTTTCCTCCGCGAAGACTGCTCCTTCTCCCCCTTTTCGATGACAAGCTTGGCTATCCTCTCAAACTCTGAGCACACTCCGAGCATACGGTGCACACCTCCGGTCTCTGCTTCTTGACCGAGCATGGACAAGAAGTTGACCACGAGATTCATCAACTTGGTATCCGACTTGGCTCTTGGGTCCATTGGGTTCTGCAGAATATTTCCGAACAGTGTCATCAAGGCCGATACTGGGAAGTACAGAATAAGCCTACGAGACGAGGTTAGTTGTCATAAGCACAATAATCAGCGTTTTGACTCGACTTACCAAACACTTGGAGAATCTCCCTGTGGCATGTACTTGAGAAGCGAGATCGATGCTCGGGCGGCAGCGGTACAGAGCGCCGCAGAAGAGAAGACGCGGGGATTGAGGGGTTTGGCGTTGAGACCCTGAATGGCATAGTTGGACAGGCGACTTGTCCAGTAGCCGTGGTGGACTGACATGCGGTGGATCGTCGTCAAGCAGTTGTAGTAAGTCAAGTGGAGCATGGCAACGTGCAAGATGAGAGGCGTATGCGACGCCTTGATCTCGTGCTCTGGTCTGAAATCGATCGGAATCCTGTCCTTCCATTCCTCGAGTTCCTGGTCGAGCTCTCCGATGGTGTTGAGGAGCTCTCCGCTCGATTGCTTTGTGGCCTTGGTCGAATACAGTCGAGAGTAGACCTTGCTTTCAATTGTGGCAAACTCGCACATGACCCGGAAGAGGTTCATCTTACCCTTACCATCAGCCAAAGGAATGTTACCAATGTTGTCTTCCGGATCAGCATCGGGTAACTCGACGTTCATATCGTCATCGTCCTGAGCTGGCGGGCGGCCCGCTCGGAGGCAAAGGTCCTTGTCCAGCATGTAAGCGATCCAGAACACTCGCTTACGCTGCTCAATCTCAATGGGGTTGAGGTTGAAGCCAGTTCCTCTCTTGTGAAGGCCAATGCTATGTGCAAGACGAATGGATGTGGCGACCAGAAGGAATGTCGGTTGAGGGTTGGGAGTTCCTTGCATAAAGAGGGCCATTCCGAGCAAGGCCTGTACACTCAGCAAATCTGTGTTGCGCATCGATAATTCGGCAAAAGTACCCAACGCGTTTTTCATGTAACCCCAAGCCTTATCGTCCTCCTCCTGCGGTACAAGATTACTCATGACACGCAGGCGATGGGCAAAAGCCAGAGCACAGTTCAAACTCGCCCACCAACCGGTGCCCTCGTACGGATCGTCGGAATATTGTCGCTCGACCAGATGCATGAACGTGGGTTGATGAAACAATGGGAACATGCAGTTGAAGTTCTCAAAGAAGTCTTTCAGCAGAGACAACGCCTCCGTCTTGGGAGGCAGTGGCCGGAAGACTGGGCGGCGGAACAAGTCGCTGAAAACCTCGGGTTTCCAGGCGGTCCACTTGTGGTCGTCGATTGAAACTTCGGAAATCATTTGCTGGAACGAGTTGTCGCCCGTCTTCTCGTTCACCCACTGAATACCCTTGGGCGAAAAGATGGAGAAGCCTGACGAGGAACCGATGTATCGCGTCTCGCCACTTTGGTTGGTGACCAGAGAGCACATGAGCTCTGAAAGCGCCTCAACCTCCTCCTCGTTACCCTTCTCCTCGGATACGGAGGCCCGCCGCTTGTCTGCATCCTTGGGATCTCTGTGCGATTCTTTGGTAGGCTCGGGTGACGTTATAGCGCTGTGCGGCGTTGACATGGCCTCGTTCTGCCCCGATGTTGCTTGGGACGGAGATGTAGGGTTAGACGCAGCTTGGGATGCCTGTCTCGACTGCTGTTGTTTCTCTGCCAATCGCTTTTCGAGTGTGCCCAGATCCGTGTCACCGTCGTCGTCTTCGCCAAGAAGACCTACGCAATCGATTAGAACCATGTGCAGACGCATATCAATTTATGCATCACCAACCTGACAGCCTCAACAGATTCTCCATGCGGCCTAGACGGTTCTCGAGCCCTTCAATGTATTTAGCTCTGGACAGCTTGTTAGTCGGATATCGCGGAAAGGACTATATGAGCACATCTCAGCATACCCTTTTGGCGGATTGCGCTTCTTTTCGACCTGAGTGAATACGCAATCCGTCTTGTAGTTTATGCAATGACTGCAGGCAGGCATCTTGCCGTCGCACTTGATTTTCTTCTTCCTACACATGTCACAAGCCTGCGGGCGCAGATGATTGGTGTAAGCGTTCTACTCTTCTTCACGGCAGGGCCGGCGATGGTCGCGCGAGTTTAGATGCTTACCCTCGCAATCCTTCTTCTCTTTGCCTCGTTTGCATCGTCGAGAAGGGTAGACGGGTCCCCAAACATGTGAGCAGCAAGGTCGGGGGGCATATGCGTGACGGGCAGGCCGTCGGGCGTGTAAGCGCCAAAAATTTGGGGCGGCTGGTTCATCATCTGGGGCGGTCCCCCCATATGAGGCATCTGGAAGCCCATGTGGTCCATGTTGGACGAATTGAGTCGGTGTTCACCGAAGCCGGGCACTCGCGGGGTTGTCGTCGGGACGCAAGGTCCGGGGGCGTGGTTTGCTGTGAAGGTGAGAGGATGCCGATGAGCGCGAGAAGCGCGCGGGTTATCGTCGACGAGCTGATCGGAGTGGTTGTAAAGCGGCGCTGTGCGCAATGGGATTGGGAGGGTGTCTAAGGACAGACGGCAAAGTTGGGAGGAGGAATTGGGGGGGGGTTTCGAGGATGAAGTAAAAGACGAAAAGGGCCTAAAGGAAATCGGCCTGTCACGGTATTTGCAAGCAGGTAGCGTCAGATGGCTAGCGCAGCGGCAGAGGGGTGGGCACTGCTATTCGCTCGGTACTGCGGTGGCTTGGTCGAATTGTTAACGCCGAGAGGTGGACTTGTTTCCGTAGCGGACCTCCCAAGGCGATAGACCCCGAAGCTCTTCGTTTTAGGTCTGGCCTGGAATCCGCAGCGGTGGAGTGTCTCGTCAAGGTGAAGCTCGAGCTGAAGCAGAGCGTGAAGCGGTTGACTTAAGGTAATCGGGGTGGCGTAAGAAGTCTCGTCGGGTTGGTGGACCGTGGGATTGTTGGTCGACTAGTCGAGTTGATGAGTTTGAATCACGTTGAGAGAGATAGAGATTCGAAAGGAAATATCCGTAGAGAGGGAACTTGTGAGGTATGTTCCAACCAGGGGGGCGAACGTACCTTTGACAAGTAGGAAGGGGAGTTGGGAGGTTATCGCGTTGGACGTCTTAGAAGTTCCGTAGTTCCAGCAAGTTTGAATAACTAGTTAGGAAGGGTGGGAAAGGGGGAAAGATGAAAGAAAAGTTGACGGCTGAATGATGGGACGGAAGGACGATGGACAAAAGAGAAGAGCTGAGCTGGGCGGTATCACATAACTCATCACCTCCTGTTGCACCTAAAGGTACGCAGTACTTTTTCCACAACATGGGGGAAGGGGGGGGGGGGGGCAAACGGCGTTACAGAGTTGCAAACTCGCAGACTCGTCCGTCAATGTGCTTGCAGTGGCATTGGTCAGCGGGGCGTAGCTGACCAGGGGGTAAGGAGGGGGGAGGGGGAGGGGGCACCACTGGTCTCGTTTCGCTGCCCGCGATGCTCTCCCAGATCCCCCAGCTGTAAGGTACCATCCACGGTATCCGCGTACCTTACCCAAGGTACCTGCCTTTCGTGCCTTCCCACTACATTCTACATGCTTAAACAAACGGAAACTTGTACCTTCCACAAGGGGTGTTATTGGAGAAGGATGGTGAGGTACTTCGGGAAGGGGGCGACCCCGACTTCTGCTGCTGCTGTCGCCCGCCGGCCCGGAGGACGAGATGGTACGAAGGACGGATACGTACAAAGGTGACATGCGCAGGAAGCGAGAGGTCGACTTAGGTTCCTTCCTTACCAGATCAACGTAAGTAGGTATGCGGCTATACGTACCTTATTACCAATGAATTAAAGAGAGCACATGGCATTCAACTGCATCTCATGTAATAATCCGCGCCTCTTTATCATTCTGCTACGTTCTTCTACACCCCCAAACGTCGCTTTGCTATTTTGGTTTGCTACCTTCGGCTACCTCGCCTGCCATTGGAGGATCTCGAAAGCCACCACCATCACAACCACATTGTACTGGTAATGGTGGTGGTGTAGAGTTGCTTCTCCTCGCCAGTCAACGGGCCTCTCATCCCAAGTTCGACGCCAATTCGCTTGTCTGTGGTGCCTGTTGGCCGCTGGAGCAACTGTCTGATACTTCGCGGGTCATGACTCGGCACTTTGATCGATGCTGCAAAGCTGGGTACAGCTGTCAGGAGAGAGGCAGCGCAAGGCCATGCATCTACAATGCCCGAGATCCGTTCCAGGGTACGATGGAGGCCAGGAGACACGTCTACCCCGAGCCGCGACGCCAAGATGCCCCTCTGCGCCCTCACCGATTCGACTTCCAGGTTTTCCGCCTGGTCGGTTCCAACTCATCGACGCCATTGACCACGAGGAGAGCGCCTGGATTCCGTGGCGGACCTCGTCTCCCGCTTCTTGGCTTCCACCGTTCATCACTTCACCGTCATGTACGTCGCTCTCCTCCCCACCCATCCCACTTTACCGGCCTAACCCCCCCCCCCCCAACTGCTAACCCTTTTGATATCGGAATTGTTCTTTTGTCTCAGCTCTCGATCACCCCTACACAGCAATACCCAGCATTTGCAGACCTCCCCCCCGTCGTTCTCTCTGTCACTCTGCAACCCCTGGCGCGGCACCATGTGCGAGGAACACTCTCGCGGCGAATCATATCGGCTGAATCGGCTTGACAGGCCCCATCTACCGCCCGTGCGGCGCCATCTGCAGTGCATGTACGGATACCTTAATCAATCTCCCTCCCCTGGCCTGCACCTCTTACAAACTGGGCTCCTCCACGTCCCGAGCGTCCGAAGATATCTAGTTCTCCAACTTGGATCCTCACCTTAACCTGAGAGAAGGCGCCATCGAATAGAAAATGGCACAGAAGAAAAGAATAAGAATGGACACGGGACGGATACTTACCAACGATATGACGAACTCTACTCGTTCCCATATTTCAATCAGGAAAGCGACTCGGTATCCGTCACTGTCTGGGGGGCCATGCTCTCAAGAAAGCTCTAAATCCTGATGGGAGGATGAATCTTCTCTCAGCTCGGACACACCTTTTCAGTCTTGACGGCTAGACTAGCTCGGAATCAGTCCAGGAACAAGGGTTTGCTTGATGTGATAGGCACAAGCGCAGAACCTTCTCTCCCTCTTCCTCTTATCTCTTACTCACTCGCAGTCACAGACGCTAGCCAACCGCAACGAGGGAAACCGCCATCCGGCGTCGAGCACGGAGAATCACTCGCATGCGCATATGGCGTGCCGGCCTGGGCTCGTCACGGAGTTATCTCCAATTCGCGGTACCGCTCGCGGGCATTGACGGAGCCCCCACCCCCCTAATCGATAATTGCTTTACCGTTATCGAGGCCTGTCTGAAGCTATGGTAACAGCTTATTCACCACTGCTCTGACAATCGGACAGTGAGGCCTCTTTGCATGCCCAACCAGCTCGGCGAGGCTTATATCCAGTCGGCCGGGTGGAGTGCGCGCGCGGGAGGCCGGGGGCTCAGCTGTTTGATCCGAGCAAGCCGGAGCAAATATCTCGACTCTTCAAGATCCATTTTCAATGACTCCATGATATTTCATCCTGGCAAGGAGAGATGGGGGAAACGCTCTACGAAAACGGGGCATGGCCTTTGTCATTGGATACCGCAACTGTCTCTAGAGCGAGCATATCACGAGACAAACCAAGGCATCCGACCAAGATCGCACATCGATACCAACATCAACCCAGCAAGATCTCGTGCTGTCGCCTCGCGCCTCGCTCTTGACTACTTCAGGTTACGCCGCCGCTGCGATGTATTGCGCCGAGGTCCGCGACGTACTAGAGCCCTTCTCGAATAACCATCCCGGGCCTATGTACGGAATGCAGGTGCCATCGATGTCGTGGGTGGTTCATACTGGTCTCGACACCTTCGGACGGTTAAGATGCCGCAGGGTTCGAAGAAGTGGAGCTCTTGAGACCGGGAGTGAGGTTTCTTACCCCAAGCTCGGGTATTATGCGAGGCTCCTATTGTTATGGAGCAGGAAGCTCCGGCCTGATGGAGGCGCATGCTGTCTTTGCCCCCCCTTCCCCCCAGGTATGAAGCACCCGAAGCCACCACGACCGTGTTATACGAGAAGTATCGCAAAATGACAACGGGCAGATGAGGCTCGACACTTGACAGCACTACACCTCCATCATCGACCTTTTTGCGATAACTCGTACTGGATGATCATGAGCGGCCTCGGGTGTGCAGTGCAGTGGTATGGGCGCTTTGCACATGATGCCCATCTGTTCCTCCATTGAGACCAACTACCCAAAAAAGATGTTTCATCCCGTGTTGTAGATGACGGTACCGGGGAATGGAATGGGATGAGATGGTAAACACTCATAAACGCCTGATGGATGAGACACCCGCCCTACAGGAAGCAGGCCACTGTGAGGTGAGTGCCTACTTTCGTACCCAATCGGGATCGTGTAAGACGCTGCAAAGAGAATACCAACAGTTCTATGCCCAAAACTTGAAGACGAATTTGTCATGGTAAGGGCGCGGCCCAAGCGGGACACAAGGTTGCCGCCCCAGAATTCTGGGACGGGGGTGGTTGTTGAAGAAAGGCAAGAAAAAAAAAGAAGCTCGACACGACCATTCGTTCTGGTTCCCACCGTTTCATACATGTCTCAAGATGGTTCACCAAGAAAGCGACTCCACCCGGGAAGGCAACAACGTTCTTGGGGATTCTCTGCAGTCTCCCCCCCCCCCCCCCAAAGATTCAGACTCCGCCTCCGGGGGAAAGCCTCCCCCATGAAATCAGGGTCCGCGTTTTGTTTTGCGCAAAAGCCTTTCTTTGTGCGAATCTGACGAGCTTTCCCGGAGGCAGCCCGAGGAGAGGAAAGAGTCAACCTTTTGTTCTTGTTCTTCTCTCCTTATACTACTCAGCAAGAAGCCATCCTCTCCATCATTCAACGCAACCGCAGCCGCGCTTCCGGTCTCTCACCCCCGGTCTTGCTACAATTGGATTTCTCTCCACCTTGTAGGGAGAAAAGATCGGACGGGGAGGACACGGCACGGCATGTTCATCATCGCAAGTGGATCCCCAACCAGCGGTCAGGAAGCTCGAGTGAGATAGAGTTCTCGTCACATGGGAGAGCACAAACTTCCATACGCGGAAAAAGATGGTCGCGCCTTTTACTTCGTACGCATGTGGTTTGATACCGTGTACTCCGTACGCTCAAGGCAAGTGAGGTAAGGTAGGGGCAGAAGAATTGTTAGCAAAAAAAGAGGTCGGATAGACTTCATCTTCTCTTTTTCTCCCCTTCGTGGCCGTGGCCAGAAAAGGCAAAAATCTAATGTTGCCCTCCACGCTCTATCCCCTTTGGCCCGTCTCTGACCTCTCACTCTCTCTTTCTCGTCTCCCGTCTTGGGGCGAAACTTGAAAAGAAAACTTATTTACATCCAAGCAAGCCCAACACTCGCCTCAGCTGCGGATGCCAATGCAGCAATTGCGGTCCGGAGCCGGCGCACACGTGCGTGCTTGCTTGCTTTTGAAAAATTGAATCCATATCCCTTCCCCCTTCTCCATGGATTCACCTCCCTTCCGCACGACCGGAACGAAAAAGGCTCATATCAGACGTGCCAGAAACTCTCTCAACGCCATTCCATATGCCGTCGTAGAGTCCGCAAAGATGGCACAAAGCAAAAAAGGTGTAACCCCCCCACCACCCAAAACCCCTCCAAATAAGTACTAGTAATTATCGTTTGAAAGATTGGTAAGAATGTACAATACGCCTCAAGGTACGTTTTTGGAGTCCCGGCGTTGCCCTCGAGCTCGGCATTGGCCGAGCTGGGAATGAGAAAGAAGAAGGGAAAAAAGGTTGAGCATAAAGGAAAAAAGTGAATTCACATGTCTTCGTGAAACCTAGAAGCCGAACCCCGAGAGCCCCGAGACCCGTCCTGTGAAGGTAAGGTCCGACCAATTGGGTCCCGACCGGGAGGCTGTAACGGGACGAACGGCGGATTTGTCTGCGGAGACGCGGCCGGAGGCGGGAACGGCGCCGATTCGGTCACTGGCGTTCGAGCCGGCGACTCTTTGAAGACCACGACACCGCTGACTGGCCTCATGGGCGAGCCGAGTGCGAGGCGTGTTGTTTGACCGTTGGGGTCGAAAAAGGCTTGAGAGTCTCGGAAGTAGACTGATTCGTCATCGTTCACAGCGGCTGAGGTGCCCTCGCGTGGATCTGTGTAACCGTCGCCTCCGGCTTGTAGCACAGAAGGCAGTTTCCTGCCGGCAACTCGGACAAAGCCTCTTTCGCCGGTTTCGGAAGGCTCGCTAGCCCTCCTTGAGGAAGGCTTGTGAGCCACGGCCATCGCACCTGCTCCGGCCCCGGCACCAGCGGCCGCTGTCGTGGGATCAAACGATAACGACCGTTGAACCATTCCGCCGCCATTGCCACCGGGTGGACCGCCGGAACCGGTCAGGATGCCTCGTTTGCCGGCGCTGGCCTCACTGAGGCGGAACCGTCCACCGGTACGCTTCTTCCACCGAAGAGCGAGGAATACCAGCACCACAAGGAAAGCCGCTCCAGCCAAACTTCCTACGACGCTTCCTACGACAGTTGCCGTTGGCGTTGGCGAACCGCTACCGCTAGAATTGTCCGAGGTGGAGGTTGAAGTGGGTGCAGCCGTCCCCGCCGCGCCGCCGCCGATTCCACCAGCGGTCCCGTCTCCGGAAGCTGTCGCTTCATTTGAGGGCGATTGCGAGGCGCTCGTGGTAAAAGTAGACGTGCTCAATCTGCTAGAACCCGAAACCGAGGTCGATGCCGATGTCGAGGTTGCAGTCGAACCCGAGTTGGAGCCCCATGTCGTCGATGACAGGGATGAAAGTATTGATGAAGTGACGCTTGTTGATCCAGACGAAAGCTGGCTAGTTAAACTGGTTGCGGTAGAGACTGAGGTTGAAGAAGAGTTTGTTGACGTAAGGAATGCTAGATATTGGGTCAGCTGCTTCGGTCTGGGACACGCGACAAAAGGGGAGGCGGCGCACAAATTGTCGAGTTTGACTGGCCACTCAACGTAGGGTAGAGTGAAGGCGTAGCTTCTGAAGGTGCTGGGGTCGATAAAGGATCGGACGTCAAGGAGATATCTTGACTGGTGGAAGAGTCGGTGGAAGTGGATGTGGTGGGCGCCGGTGTTGAAAGTGCTGAGTCATTCGTCGTGCTAGAAGATGTCGTCGAAGAATCGGTGGACGAAGTTGAGGATGGTACCGCGGCAATTGACAAGTCAAGGGCGGCACTGGTGGTTGATGAAGCATCCACGGTGGCGGCCGTCGGGAAGATGGTCTGGACTTGGATAGGGGAGCCGGTGGCATCGACTATTTGAATGAGGGAGACGGTCTGGACGACGATTCTCGGTGCGGCGGCACTCGACGAGGTGGCGGCGTCGGGGCTGGGAGTCGTCGGGCTGGGGTCGTCGAGTTGGCGATGGTGGTGATTCGCATTCTCGGGGGTGGCTGCACGTTGGTTGTGTAAATGGTAATGATTGTGATGGTATGAGCGGGCCTGAGGGAGTGAAGACCCGCGCAGTGATTTAGTCATGGCTTCGATGGGGTGGCGTTGGGCCAAGTAGGCAGAGGCTGAGCTTTTGCCCCGGCCGTTGTGTGTGGTTGGTTGTCTTTTTTGGTAAACTGGGGGAGGCGAACTTCAAGCCGGCGTGTTCCCAGGGCGGGACGGGAATAAAGATAGAAACAAGGTAAACGAGTGACTGGTGTTGGATCACCGGGTAAGTAAGCGAGTGTGAGCGAGTGTGTGTGTGGTTTGTGTTTGGATGAGAATTGTCGATCTATTCGAATTTCATTCTTGGCATCCTCATGGCCATGTGTCGATAAAATGGTACTATCGTCTGGTGGTTGGTGGTTGGCGGTTGTGGAAGTGGTGGTGGTGTCCTGCAACGGGCCGCGCGAATGCAATTCCCCCTTTCGTTCCGAATCAACAGATGGTCGTTCTTTTTTCCCTACACTCTTTCTGAAATTTCCTCCGGATGCCGTGTGTGCGAAAGTGCGATTGCCCCCGGAAAGGACTTAAAAAGCCAACAACAGGAAGGGACCGTGGACAGTTCGTGTCAGCCGTTTCTCGTTGTTCGTGTTCGAGATCCTTTGTCTCCCTTGCATCCGCCAATTCTCATGGCCGATGGATCAGGACGATGGCATGGCGGCGTAAGCGTGTGTTGCTGGCAGGAGGCGAAGAGAAGAGGACCAGAAGGAGTCGGAGTAGGAGAAGGAGGAGGAGGAGGGAGGAGTAGAAGAAGAGAAGAGACAGACAGACAGACAGACACACAGGCGCCGCGGATGGGGGGGGGGGGGGTGGAGTGAGCAGGCACGACGATAATAATAGGCAATGGATCGATCGTAGGCCGGGCTCTAAGGTAAGGTAAGGTAAGGTAAGGTAGGGTAAGGTACTCCGTAGTGTAATAACATGCAATATCCGTTTGGAAAGGGAAACAACGCAGGTCCAGTCAAGTGAGAAAGTCACACCTTTTCGGTCAAAGTTGAGCGCTTCGACGTGAGGTGGGCGTCGCCCTGTTCACTTCAATCTGTTCTTGCCCTGGGAAGTGTCTAGGGGGGCCCTTGGACTTTTGGTAGAAGTAGAGGAGGACATTGGCACTGGGCGGTTGGAAAGACAGAATTGACAAGAAGGTACTCGGTAGCAAAGCACGAAAGGTACGCAGTAGGACTGGCACACAGGCGCAGATTGCAGTCACTCGCAGGTGGGAAGATTTCGATAATCTCGCTTGATATTGGCGAGTGGCTGCTAGTTGGAGGACATCGCGTCCCATTGGCCAACCACACCTCGCCAAAGTTGCAGTGAGCAGTTCCACTGTCCACTATCACGGGAAGCGGCCCCCCCCCCCCCCTTCTCTCAGTGCCCCCAGTGGCCCCCTCCCCCTCCACCAGCAATGGGGGCATGGGCCGACCAGGAACGGGCACCATGGGCCAGGGACAGGGGACAGGGGATGGGCAGGGAACATACACCCCATCGCCATGGCGTCCCTGTCCTTTTCTCTCTTGCTGCTTTCTTTTCTATCCCTCTCACGTCTTCCCATCTGGTGCCTGTCACATCGAGGCCCGCACAGTACGCCAGTCAACACACGGCGTATCATCCAACGCAACCTACGCAGCACCCCGTACCTCATTGCCAACGACTTCAATCGTACCTTATGGTCCATGGATACACTGTACACTGTCCATTGGCTTTGGATGAAAAGGCAATGGCTAATCGATGGACAGACAGGTGAAAGCACAGGCCCTTCGGTGGCATGAAGGCGACAGAGAAGAAAAGGAAACGAGAAACATCCCGCCGATCAAATCAGAGGTGACAGCACCAGCACACACCACCATCCGTCGGGATGACATGAAATGAGATGATGCATGGGACGAAAGAGGCACAGAGAAGAAGCCGACAAGTCTGACTAAGGCACCGCGTCAAAAATACGTACAAGACACACGAGACATGGACACACGAGGTCCAGGAAAGGAATGGCCTGCGCAAGCCCGACGAATGTGTCTCGTTTTCCCTTACAAAAGTCTTTATTTGGCTACGAGGTCCGTGTCCGTGAGCAATTCAACTCGTCTTCTGCGCGTTCAATTGGCGCCGTTGGTTTCGCCCACGAGATCATGGCGGCGCACGCGGCGCAACCCGCTCGACCAACTGCCATCCAGAATCCAGAAAGGTCCAGACCAGACATGTCTCCCGGGTACGCTACTTTACGACACTAATAACGTGCCCACGGATACCTACGGATACCAACAATGACGAAGCATCTTGACGCTAGAGACAGAGAGGTCCATGAAGGATCGCCCACCTTCCCCAAACCAATGCTTGAGGAGGAGGGTCAACGGCTCTGCATCTGCATTTTGGAGATTCGGAATCCAATGGAATAAAAAATATCTGCGAAATAAATGGGCCAACTTACGACGACACGAGCCAGTATTAGCGACTCCACTACTCCAACTTTTCGTACGTTGTCTTCGTCGCTCAGCTACGGCTACCGCTGAACTGATGCCAGCATTTTAATAGTCAACACTTCTCACAGCTTGCAGCATAAAGTTCGCAATCCTTCAAGTCCATCGTCGCTAGACGGCGCATGACGAGCCAACCACAGTGGAGAATGGAAGAGAAGAAATTAAGAAAAGGAAAATACAAGCAAAAATTCGATCCGAGAATGCGACCAAAAAGTTTGTCCACGCATGCATGTCGAGGAGGCATGCGCCAAAATCAACCTGTGTGACCATCGTTGAAATCTCTAGTCTCGCCATGTCATCTGCGAGCCGCCTACCTGTCTGACCAGTACTCTTCACTCCCCCGAGGGTTGTGCCGACTCATTCGCGCCTTCTGACCTGAAGTCAAATCATTCGCAATCAGTACCTACCAAAGTCCGTTGGGCGGCTCTGTTGGGGGCAGCTTCGTGGCTTTTCCTCACCTCGTACCGCAGACACCCTCCACCTCGTATTCACCACGAAGGAGCCAAACTTTACGAATTCAAGCAAATGCTCGCTTCTCCTCGTTCACTATCGCCTTTGAATAGAGTCTTCCATAAGCCGAACATGATGTTTTTGTTTCTTCTTGTGGCCGCACGGATACGGCATACAGTGCGCGGTACCTGCATATGCATCTGGATCCCTGGCCTGGGCTCCATTTCTTGGGGCCCTTCATGGAGTTCGTGGGGCCGTTCACCCTTTGGCTGCCATGGCCGGCGCCCCGGGCGAAGAACCAAACGAAACGTGCGGACGAGACGGACGGGACGGATTAGCCCCTCTTCATCCTCCAAACGCATACTGCGTAGTATCGAAAGGTGTTATGGGCGAGGGGAAGGCATGCTTCCAGGGCAAGAAACCCAGCGAACGCCCAACGCAGAGAAACAATGGCAGAGCACATACCCGCATCAGTACCTACACGAAATGAATATTGGCTGTTGTGCATGCGACCTAGCCTAGGATTCCCCTCAAATCTAGCAAGGTGAGCCTGGCGAGGTTGCAAAAGATTCAAAAGACGGGTAACAATTGACTCCCGTATGCCGAATCGACCAAGCGAAGACGATTGTCAGACTCCTTCAACTTTGACCAACGCCTACAGAAATCTACGGATAATTCTACGACGGTAGGTTCGTTCTAGAAGCGGGTGGCTAACAGACATCGAGCACCCACATGCCTTTGAGATGGGAGGGGCCTCCATCTGGTTTTCTCTCCTAGTGCACGGCAAGCCTCGAGCCTGCTCTGTCGCCTCTGTCTCTGCGTGTTGGAAGCTTGGCGAGGCTCGGCGATCATGGGACGAATTTCGTTTCCATCGAAACAAACACTGGGGTAACCTGGAACCCCCGTCTCTTCTGATGCCCCCTTTTCCTTGCCCCGTTATATTTCTCGGCGTGACGGAACTTGCTCTTCACTGCCTCACTGACAATGGAGTCTTTTTACTGGCGCCAGTGGTCCGAATTACCCAGAATTAAGGTGTTCGGCTTCTTCCCCGTTTACAGGTCATAACTTATGCGTTATCATATAGGTATCATTTGGCAAGTTGAACGATTGTATGTATGAGACGATTTAGCGCGTCTCAGGAGGCTCTCTGAATTCTGGGACCGTCGAATGTGCTTTCCTTCCCTTGCGACATGGCAGCGAGCGTTGTCCAAGTATTCGCACATTTTGGTATTCGCACCAAGGAAAGATTGTCATTCGAACCACGGCGTCATCCAAGACCAAGCACGGCACTGGAATGACAAGATCTCCATGGCTGTACGTAATCCTCCCTTGAACCGACCCCCTCCCCGACAGGCGTAAAGTGGAGTTCAATGAAAGAAAGGCTTGCACCTCTTGGCTTGTCGAACGTCGACAGCCTGGGGGTGCAGTCGATGGTTTGGCTAAGACTGCTGTGTAGTGCAGATGTTGTGCAGCGTAAACATGGGTAGACTAACCACAGTATCCGTACTCCGTACCACAGAAACAAGAGTCGAAAAAGTGCGCGAGACAACAATGACTCTATCCGTGGGAAAGCACGTTCATTACCATCCCGGTGGGTTTTCTCCTGGGCGCGTTCCCGAGACGACGGGCAGCTACCCTTCCATGGCTCGCATCGAATTCTTCACTTCTACTCTAAGAGGAGCCGCACTGAATTCCACGAAACTGCGACCAGCTTAGCGTACAAGTGGCCGTGTCCGTGGGCCAGAACACACGATGTCTGAGGACGGATAGCCGTCTGCCGTCTGTCTGTTCTCTCTTGTTGTCTCGTTCTAGGCTCCATCCTTCTGGAAACCTTGGACCCCGTCGTCCCGACGGACGAACGTCCACCTGAAGATGAGGGAATTGGTGCCGCGGAACCATGTCTATGAACTTCCGCGCGCCGTTTCGATATTTTTATTCTCCTTTGACGGACCATACCTGGCAGCAAGGTAGATCAACCAGAAACAGACAATAACAAACCCTTCGATGGAACCTGTTCGAGGTTTTCTGACAAACTTTTGTTGGAGTGGGCGACGGTTGCAACGGAGAAGAGCGACGATGGAGTCTCCAATCTAATCTGTGTAATCTCCCAAATGATCCATCACCCCT